CCCTCTCCCCAGGCCCAGGCTGGCGGCTCCCGGGAGCTTGCCCAGGACCGCAAGAAGTGGGCACCTTCCTGGGCTAGTGCAGACATAATGGACCTTGTCCACGATCTCTGCACTAGGCACAGGAAAGTGGCCGTCTAGGGCAGGAGAGCTGCCAGCCTGGCCACCCAGGACCAGGTGTGCATGAAAATCAAGGGGGTCCACTGAGACCCCCGACCCTGAGCCCTGAGCTTACAATGGCCGTACTGGGTCAGACCAAAGGTCCATCTAGCCCAGTAGCCTGTCTGCCAACAGCGGCCAACCCTAGGGACCCTGGAGGGGATGGACCGAAGACAGTGATCAAGCCATTTGTCTCGTGCCATCCCTCTCCAGCCTTCCACAAACTTTGGGCAGGGACACCACTCCTACCCTCTGGCTAATAGGACTCCATGGACCCAACCTCCATGACTTGATCTCACTTCCCTTTAAACTCTGTTCTAGTTGTAGCCTTCACAGCCTCCTGCAGCAAGGAGTTCCACAGGTTAACTATTTGCTTTGTCAAGAACAACTTTCTCTTACTAGTTTCAAGCCTGCTACCCATTCCTTTCCTTTGGTGTCCTCTAGTCCTTCTTTATGGGAACTCAGGAAGAACTTTTCTGAATGCACCCTCTCCACCCAACCCCTGCTTTTAGAGACCTCTATCCTGTCCCCCCTCCGTCTCCTCTTTTCTAAGCTGAACAGTCCCAGTCTCTGTAGCCTCTCTTCATCTGGGACCTGTTCCCAACCCCTGATCATGTTAGTTGCCCTCCCCTCTCCCAGCCTTTCTCTTCCCCTCTCCCACCTCCTTTTCCCAGTCTCCCCCAGTTTTTTTCAATAAAGACAGAGTCAATGTTGGAAGAAACGTTATCTTTATTTTGTACATCAATAAGAAGGGGGGCTAGGGAAGGGTAAGTGGAAGGAGGTGAGGGAGGAATGGGGTACGAGCCCCCGATGGGGAGGACTGGGCTGGCTCTGCGGGCTTCTGGGGGTGGAAGCTCTCCTGCAGCCCCCCAATTACTCCCTCTCCCCAGATGGCAGCCTGCGGCAAGTGCAGCCGGGCTGATGGCCGAGTGGTGTGATGTGCCCAGTGTGGGCACTCAGGGCACTCCAAGCCAGAACTTCTTTGCAAGCGGGGCACCCCTTAGAACTGTGTGTCCGGGGTGGGGGTCGGGACCCTTTAAGCGCAGCCCTCGGCTAGCCTGAGACAGTATCTCCATGCTCTAAGTCCTCCTTTTATGCCCTGCCGGCACTGCTTCCGGCCATCCTTAAGCCCTGTTCAGAGTCCACTCAATGTGGACTTACTAGTTCGAACTAGCAAAACGCTAGTTCGAACTAGTTTTTAGTTCTAGATGCGTTAGTTCGAACTAGCTTAGTTCGAATTAACTAATTCGAACTAAGTTAGTTCGAACTAGCGCTGTAGTGTAGACGTACCCTAATAGATTAGTAATATGATTTCTCTTTACAGAAACTGACTTTTGCCCAACAAATTATGTTCTTTTAGGTGTCTGACAATTTTATTCTTTACTATTGTTTCAACTAATTTTCCCGGTACTGAAGTTAGACTTACCGGTCTGTAATTGCCCGGATCGCCTCTAGAGCCCTTTTTAAATATTGGTGTTAAATATTGGCATTTAGCATTTATGCTGCCCAACTTTTAGTGACTCAGCCAAATTGCTAAAAGCTGTGTGGTGTAGACAAAGCCGGAGATCTCAGCTTTAAGGAAGGCGGTGTGCAGACAATGTTGACCTGCTGCTGTCTGTGTCTAAAGCAGGAGATGTTCTATTCCCGTCGCCATCCTGGCCAGGTTTCCTTTGTGATGTTGGGCAAGTCACCTAATCTCTCTGCTACCGTTCCTCCTTGTAAAGTGAGATTAATACCATCTCAGAGAGGCATTAAGCAAAATTAAATGTGTAGCACTTGAAGATCACATAGTTTATTAGGTAGCTGTTAGAGCAGGCATGTTTGCTGTTGGAAATGGGGAGGTAAACAAAGGGAATGAGGAAAGGATGCGGTTCCAGAGCTTGGAATGCTCTGTCATTCTGACAAGCTTACTGTGTCCAGCAGCAAGTCAAAGCCTGCTTTATGGGGTTTGTTTTTTCCAGGAGTGAAGATTTGGGACTCTGCCTGGCTTGCTGGCGGTTTGATAGAGCTCAAAGCTTTGTACCTCTTAAGTCAGAAATTTGACTCCGGCTCAGTTTGACAAAGTCAGGGTGTTGGCAACTTGTATGAAATGATGTTCTGTGTCATATTCCAGTTCCCAGGAGGCAAATGATTTCAGCATAACCAGTATCACAATTTGGAGCAGCTTGTATTTAGAGCCCTAAAACTGCATGAATCATTGTTTTGATCACTGTAGGTATGTCTACGCTGCACTTAGACACCAGCAGGCTTGGGTTCTCAAAGCTTGGACTAGGGGCTTTTTGGCTTGGGCTGGACATTCCCATCTCACAGGGTCCTGGAGTCCCAACATCATTCTGTACCGCAGTTAAACAGTTCCTTAGTGCAAGCTGTGCAAGCCCAAGTCAACACAGCCATGGGTTTTCAGTTGCTGTTTAGCCACAGCTGTGAGTGATGGTTTGGCCAAAGAATGTGGTGCAGGACAGCTGGCTGCTGTACATGGTGGCGTGTGTATGTTGCTTAAGGTGTCAGGACATTCTAGCTTGGAACCTCTTACTTGAAAGAAAATTAGTAAAAACATAAGAGGAAGTGGTGGGGGAGGTAGGACAGTTACTGGAAAGCTCAAGCAGAGGGTTAAGAACAAGAGGTCATCAACCGGAAGGGCAGTTAATGTATAAGAGATGCATCCTTTTGGTGTTTGTGCTTCAGACTGGGAGCTGGAGACTGAGCTGCCAATTCTGGCTTCACATTAACTAGCTTGGCCTGTTTTCCACAATCTTATCTCATGTTCTGGTTTCCTAACCCCCAGACACAGGATTAAAATAAGCTTTAAGATGAGCAGCGACCTACATATCTGGCTCATAGTGAGGTAATTGGGAGACATAATATAAGAGGATGAAATGTGTTTTGGTCAGATAGTGTTCAGCAGAGATGCTTTTAAAATAATTAGTGGGCTTGGTCTGTACCCACCTGCTTCTGCCAGTTTGTCAATTGGGCCTAGTGGTGAGTAGTATCTATCATCTAATTGTCTCAATTCCCATTTTACAGATGGAGAAGGAAGCAGAGCCCTAGTGGTTTACCCAAGGTGCAAGTGAGTCACAGCTGGTAATAAAAGCCAGCTGTTTTGGCTCTAGTCCTAAATATTGCATCTGTTGTATTGCATGCCCCTTTGTCTTGAGCTTTTTCAAATAGTCTGTTTTAAGCCTATTGACTAATCAGAATCTTTTATTTGGGGGAGTCCATGCTGGAACATAATCATTAAGGGGAGCAAAATATAAATGTCAGCTGTGTGGGAGTTTTGCTTTTTCAAGGCTCTTTAGACAGGTGTGGAGGCTGTTCTGGAAAGCCAGCTAGTGAACTCTGCCCTTGCTTTTGTGAAAAGAACTGTGCAGTCTGGCGGCCTGTTTTGCTAGCATTGTTTTGCAGTCCCATGACCCATTTCTCTTCCCTTCCAGATGTGCTACGTTGCAGAGGGAGAGGCTTTGTTAATTCCCTGCCAAGCTGCCTGCCTTTGTGGCTTAGCTGGTGTAACTTACTGCTGTGCTAGTAGGGGAGAGGAGAGGCTGCACATTACTGAGGAAACACATCAGTTTTGCAGGGGTAAGCGAGCAAATTGCAGCTGAAATCCCAGAAACTAGTGTTGAAAAAGATGTAAGGGGGGAAATTTTTCCCTTCCTTCTCCAGGTCGGTCACTCTCTGACTGGCTTTTTTGCAGATGACCTAGGGATTTTGCAGGCTTGGTGGATAAGAATTGTTTTGCTCGCAAATATCATTCATGCAGGCTGGTGAAATACAAGTCTTTAGTCTGCTCAGCTGATCCACCAAACCCTGAGTAAGAAGCTTAACTTGGATTGTTTACTGAGTCACAGTTGTCTTTCATGCACAAGGTTACAGTTTATTAGTATGCGAGGTGCTTTGTTCTGCACTATCTATAACTCTTAGCTGAGACTGTCAGTGCCTTTGCTTCAAGCTGCAAGAGTGGACATAAGGGTTCATTGCTTTCCGAGACATAGTCAGACGATAAACAGGTAAGACTCTATTAATAGCATGTATCATTGACTTCACCGAAGGAGAACGTCAAGTTCACTGCTCTGTGAACTGACCCTGCATGTGTTTGAGTGAGTTCAGGCTTTCTCAGCTCAAGAAACTGCAGCCTTTGGAGACACCCTCCTCCCCCCATTTAGGAGCTTCTGTTTCATTAAAGCCAAGTTTTTGCTCTTCACTTAGTGTGGGTGAAATAACTGGATGCTGAACTCTGTCTGTTCCCAAGCAGGGTTGGAGAAGTGAAGAGAACGTTAGGAAGATCAGGTCTGTGGAGAGATGCCGTCCGACGTAACGGAATCCTCCGAGGGAGTAGATGAGACTGAGAATGTTCACTATGAGGAAACGGAAGAGGACAATGATGTCAGGTGAGTCCTGTCAGACCCTGCTGGCTAGTCAGAATGGGGCTTTGTTGCTTGGTTAAAACTTGTCTCCTACATGCGAGTCCCAGGCAGTGGGAATAATTTTTGGTGTGTGTGTGTGTGTGTGTGAGAGAGATATGAGAGAGAGGGAGGGAGCTAGTGATGAGGATATACTGAAATGTGACTAGATAATCCAGTGCATCTCCCTTATTGCAGCACATGTATTTCCTATAGAACACTTTCTAGTGTGTTATCCTGTCCAGTTTCAAATGACAAGAATTAATAGGGTTTCTTCCATGGCCTAATTGCCTTCTGCCAAGAAATAATTCCTTATATTCTGACTGAGCTTTGTATATTTTGGAATGCAATAATACATCTCTCCTGAATCGGGCAGTTAACAAAATCTCGTCTTGTACATTTCTGAGGTGAAGCAGCTGCAATGCTGAATTTTCATTAAGGATTAACCATAAGATGCTGTGACTTCTTATGCACCTATTTACTTTACCAAAAACCAAACAACTCTCTAGAGAAATGAAAATGCAGCACACATCCATAATAGGCGAATATTAATTCTTTGTTGAGCATTGACTGTGTTCTCAGTAATTACAAAACCCCCAGTCCTTGCCCCAGAAAGCTTAAACTATAAAATCAGATGACCTAGAAGACCCAGAAAGAGCCTTTCACAGTCTATCCCTAACTAAATATTGGGACAGAGAGTGCATTGGAGTAATATTTGTGGAGGCAACGAACTTCCAAGAGGGATTTGAATGAGAGGCTGAGAGAGTGTTGTGATATGCTGGAATTGGGAGGTTGTTCCATGTATTGGAAGCATAGAAGGAGGTGAATGTCCTTGTGAGGCTGGAATTGTTGCTTGGGTGAATGGTGTAGATAGGGGCGTTCTATTATCTCCTATAGAACACTTTATCAGAGTGGATCAAAACTGACTTTAAAATCTTATTTTTTTTAAATTCAGTTTTCATTTGAAAAGTAAACCCTTCTAATGTTATGGCAACCAGTGTTAAGGCTTAAATAGACTCTAGCCTAAATGATTTTAATACAAAAACAGTATTCAAGCAGTACATGTTTGCTGCTGAGCTTTTAAAGAAAGACAAACTACAGAACTGGTGGAAGTCACTGGCTAAGCCCCTGGGATCAGCTTTCTGCAGTGCTCTTGTAGCCATGTTGATCCCAGGATATTGGCAAGACAAGATTGGTGAGGTAATATCTTTTACTGGACCAGCTTTGGTTGGTGCAAGAGACAAGCTGTCGAGCAGACAGCTCTGTTTACTTTCACCAACAGACGATGGTCCAGTACAAAATACACTCACCTGCCTGGTCTCTCTAAACGAGCTTTTAATGGCTGTAGCTATTCTGTCGGTGCAGGCAATATTTTCTTAATGTCACTTCCGTTAATTTAGCAGTTCTCAAATGTTAGCAGTCTGAGGACCCCCGTTTTGATTTAAACATTTTTCAGGGTAAAGTACACCACCTCCCAAAGCATTGATCCCTCTCCCTGGCATTGACCCCACGGCTCCCATTGCCCACAGTTCTTGGTCAGTGTGCGCTGAGGAGTTGGTGTTTGGGATGGGGCAGAGCACGGGAACCCCCGCCCTTCCCGTCCAGGGGGCCACAGAAATGTTTTGGCCACTTCCAGAGCATGGGTAGGTAGGAAGCTTGCCTTAGTCCCACTGTGCTACCAGACTTCTAGCATGCAAGAGGTGTGCGGGTTGGGGGGAGGAATTGATCAGCAGGTCCCCTGGCTCCCTGGGGACTCCTAGGGGCTCATGGACCCCAGTTAGAGAAATGCTGAGCCAATTCATTCAACGTTAAGAAATAGTCTCGGAGTTGAAAAAGCAACAACCTTGTTTTGTCTTCTAGTCTATGGGTATGTCTGCACTGCTAAGTTTTATCGACAACCAAAATCACCAGAAGGTGTTCACACTTGCTCCCCTCTGTTGATAGATCATGTCCTCACTGGGGACGGTGTGAGCAATGCACTGTGGGTATGTATCCCCCATGCAGTATTGTGGGAGGGCAGAACTAATCCCTTCGCATCTTGGGATTCCCTCTGAGTTCTCCCACAGGCTCCTCCTCTGCTTGGTGTAGCATCCTGAGTAGCTCTGTGGGTGCTCCATGCTGAGGAATGGCTGCTGTGCTGTTTTCTGTTCCCATCTCTCCTGCACCCTACCTCCCACCCAGCCTTTACATCCTCAGCTTGCTCCTGCACCCTGTCATCCTCCCAGACCCACTAACCCCCCCAAATCCACTTCCCAGCAGTCCCAGCCCACACACTGAACCCCTCACTTTTGGCTCTACCACAAAGCCTTCAGGTCCCACAATCTACTAGCCTGGGCCCCCCTAAGCTCTGGTGTGTGAGGAGGATGGGGGAAGTGTCTTTCAATTGAGGGCCACGTCAGTATGTTTAGAGGTTTTTTACTTCTCACTTTTTAGTGACCCCCCTCCCCCCACTGATTTTTCTATGGGTCAGCAGCCCCTGACCCAAAAAAGTTTCCCACCCCTGGTGTACACGATTACACTTTCACATCCCTTGGGTAAGGTGTGTCAGGAACAGTTTTTGAAATACTTTTATAATGTTTAAACCTTTTGTATCATTCCACCTATAGAGTTAGAATCCTTATTAGTTATAAGTCTCAGAATTTTTAGAAATCTGTGGCAATAATGTTGTTAGGGCTGTCTGTCATAGTAAATAGTTAATCTGCCACCTCGAGGCACTAGTACAAGAAATGCAAGTCCAGTGTCACTGGGAAGAAGGAGTCCCTGTTTCCTACCTGAGATGGGTCTCAAGCTGAGTGACCTTTGAGCTGGTACTAGCTCAGGATCAACTGTGCCTGTGCTGCATCACAGGCTAACTCTGGGACAGTTCCACAATTGGGAGTAGGGAAAAACACTGAGGGCAGGTTGTTTAACTGAGGCAATTCAGAGGTTTGGAATGTTAATAGTCTTGAGTGAGACTGGATTAGTGGGGCAGAGTGCAGGAGAGGCTGTCAAAAGTGCACAGCTAATTCATTGATAACGGGGATCCCCATCCATGTGGTGAAAGGCTGGGTTACGATTCTGAAGTTACATTAGAGGCTCTGTTCCTGAGACATCAGGAATGGGAGGTTGTTCATAACTCTGAACAAAACATGGTGCTTTCAGAAGTTCACAACTGAACATTGACTTTGTACAGTTTTGAAATTTTACTATGCAGAAGAAAAATACTGCTTTTCTTTTTTACCATCATAATTTAAATGACACAAGCTCAAACTATTTCCTTACTTGGTCAATCTTATAAAGGGAAAGTGGCTTTTTTTTTTGTAGTGGTTTACATTTAACATACTGTGCTGTATTTGGGTTTGTTGTTTCCCTCTGCTGCTGCTTGATAGGTACTTCTGATTCCAAAGGTGTGTGTCTGACCAGTCAGTTGTAACTCTGGGGTTCTGCTATACTATAAAAATTTATAGTAGAGGAAACTTGTGCCAAAAAAGTCAGTTTTAATGACTGCGTTTTGGGTGTCTGAATGTGGTGTCTGAACACATACCTCTTAGCTTCCCTACAATGAATGAGACTCCTGCCAGTATTGCTCCTGTCACACACTCAAGGCACAACCAGAATAGGCTGGAATGGGGATTCACACCAGTGGTGACTGCTGGGGAAGAATACAAAGGGGACACCATCCATGTGACCATCCTCCCCCCTCCCCCCATGTGACTCCTTCCTATGTCACTCCTGACCTGGGGGAGACCCCCACGTCTTCCCACACCTTCCTCACTCCACCTCTCTTTTTTTTCCACCAAGTCCTCTTTTGAACAACGCAGCCCTGAGGGAATAGTGGGGTAGTTGGTACCAGCAGTATTCCACCCCTTCCCACAAGTCCCCTACTCCAAGCAACACATCTGGGAGCTGGGGGAGGAGTGCAGGTTGGGGCCGGGTTGCTCCACTTCCCAGCATCACAGGTGAGTGAGGGGGCAGGCCTGACTCCTGGTGCCAGGCCACTGGACCCTGTGGGGCCCCACAAAGTACAAGGCCTAGGGTGGTTGTCCTGATCCGTGTGTGTGTGTGTGTGCTGACCTCTTTCCGCAAATGCTATGTGGGGAAGAGCAATGTGTCACCCCAATTCACACAACCCTAGCTCAGTAATATATTCAGCATCTCTTATGAGCTGCTGTCACCTTTGTCCTCTCCTATGAACTGCAGTCACCATATTCTCTTAGCAGTGTCAGTTGGATTTCGGTTGCATTTGGGGTAACCACCGATGACTTTGTGGGACAGTCCTGGGTTTGAAGAGGCTGTTGCCTGTTTCAGAGGCTAACATTTTGAGACTGGGTGTTAAAAGCAACCCAGACTATCAATAGGATTAGTGTAATGTCATCACACTGTGGTGATTGTTCTTCAGCATGTTTTATATGGTGGTGTTTCAGCTTCCGTGCTGACAATGTGATGACATGATGGAACAGTCTTATCCCAGAGACAGCATTTTAAGGGACTATGCGAGTAGTGTCCAAATCTCACTTGTAGTGGGACCTTACAGCCTCTGGCTGGTCTCACTTGTAGTGGGACCTTACAGCCTCTAGCTGGTCTGGAACAGAATGAATGGAGAGCTAACGCAGGGTTTCCAAACCAGTGTGTTGCAAGAAGGTCCTAGCTGGGTTGTAGGTCTGGTGCGGAGGGGAGGCCCTGGGAAGGGGTTGTAAAGGTTTGAATATCTCTCAGGTAAACTGTATCCCCAAAGCTCAGGGACGTACACAGGAATAAAGTCTGTCTGCTTTTGGAGAGGCACTTTCTGTGCTCCTCATGGCCAGAGAAACTGGTTCTCCTTTCCCCAGGGCCGTGTTTTGAGCCCCAGAGAATAATTCTGCCTTGAAGTGGAAGTCAGTTTAGCGCTAATGGAATAAAAGACCCAGAAGGCATCTTCCTGGGGCATGCCATCAGCGAATAAGAATTCAGTGTCCACCAGGTCTTTAATGCAAGACTGGCCTGAAGCATTAATGGCTGCCCTTGTCCACAAATAGCTGCCTAGCCCTATGTAGTTAAACGTTGCTCTGTCTTTGTGGTACTTTTAAGACCTACAGAATCTCCCTAGGATGCCTTGGGCATGTTTCCCATCTCATGCCCTTTGTGAATTTTTGTTCTCCACAGTCCCACTGACCTCTCAGAGATGCTGAAGGAGGGAACCAAAGAGTCTCATGATCGTGCAGAGAACACTCAGTTTGTCAAAGACTTCCTGAAAGGACGGATCAAAAAGGAACTCTTTAAGGTTTGCACTTTCTAGCTCTGCTTCCTTAACAGTGTGTGTGGGGCAAGACCTCCAGCTGTGGAGAGTTGGAAGCCAAATTTGACATGTTGTTACAGTTATAATCCAAGTGGCTATGGCACCAAGTTGGGGCTCTGGAGAGATGGGTACAGTTCCCCACTCTGCCAGACATTTCTTGTGTGACTGTGGGCAATTTGCTTAGTCTTTCTGCTTTACTTCCCAGTCTGTAAAATTGGGATGATACTTCCCTACATCAGACTGTGAAGTCCTGTGAAATCTTCTGATGACAAGTGCTATATGAGAGCCTTGTATTATTATGTATTAATATCACTATTGATCTCATTAATAACAATAATAAAAAAACTTGTTCTGGAACTTGTACTTGGCATGAGCAGACTAAATTAAACGAACCTTCTGGAAATCTGACTTTCCTAAAGGTGACACTGTGTGTAACTATGTCAAGGAATCCAGCAGGGGGTGTCACCCCCGGAGTTAGCCAGCACCTGGGAGCGCTACAGAATTGGCATGCTTACTATTTGGGTTGGGAGTTAGCATAATATTGCTCAGCAGCACCCTCTGCTGGCTGGTCTGGAACAGAATTAATGGAGAGCTAAAGCAGGGTTTCCAAACCAGTGGGTTGCAGGTCTAGTGCGGAGGGAAGGCCCTGGGGAGGGCCTCCGTGCACCCAGTAGCAGTAGTCCATGTCCCACCCAGTGGGTTGCAGGTCTAGTGCGGAGGGAAGGCCCTGGGAAGGGCCTCAATGCACCCAGTAGCAGTAGTCCACGTCCCAGAGGACTGGCTCTGTCTCCCTGCTCTGGGGCTGTGTCTAGACTGGCAAGTTTTTCCGGAAAATCAGCCACTTTTCTGGAAAAACTTGCCAGCTGTCTACACTGGCTGCTTGAATTTCCGCAAAAGCACTGACTTCCTACTGTAAGAAATCAGTGCTTTTTGCAGAAATACTATGCTGCTCCTGTTCGGGCAAAAGTCCCTTTTGCGCAAAAGTTTTGCGCAAAAGGGCCAGTGTAGACAGCTGAGAGTTGTTTTCCGCAAAAACGCGTCTAGATTGGCCATAGATGCTTTTCAAAAGCAAAAGTGCTTTTGTGGAAAAGCGTCCGTGCCAATCTAGATGCTCTGTTCCGAAAATGCTTTTTTGTTCCGAAAACTTTTCTGTTAAAAGCATTTGCGGAAAATCATGCCACTCTAGACATAGCCTGGGTGTTTGTGCCTTGGAACTTAGTTTTATAACTCCCCGTTTTTTGGCTCAGGTGCTTCTCCATTGTCATGACTGCATCTGGAAGCTCCTTAACTTCATGCCTCACGTCTACAAATGCCAGTGCGGTTGGAATTATCAGAAAGTATTGGGAATTACGTTAACAGTTTGCTTAGGGGTTTTCTTTGTTGTTTAAATTGCCAATTCCTAGTGGGCAGATGAAAGCATTCAGTATAGAGCTATAAACATCTCCTTCTGATCAGAACCGTGTGCACATCCAAACAGTGCTTTCCCTTAGAGGGGTGTAAGGGCCGTAATGAATTAAGCGCCTCTGCCTTTGAGGTGGGATGTGCTGTCCCATTTCAGATACGTATTGAGGCATAAGGTGACTTGCCTAAGGTGATGCAGCAACCCCATAGCAGGACTGGCAATAGAACGTAGAACTCTGGGCTCCCAGCCTGATGCCTTGAGAGGAAGTCTGTTCTCCATGGCAGAAATCTCAGGGAGAGAAGGCTTCACCGTACATCTCATTTGTGTCCTGTCCGCCCCTGCAGGATTGTCCCTATGGTCCCATTGCTGGATGCATCCCAAGCAAAGGGGTTTTACCATTTCCTTTTAAGATTTCTCCACAGCCCAACAGATAATATGCTGGTCAAAGTGTGGTTTGTATGGGGTGTGGTTACTGGGAGGCTTGCATGGGTCTGTACCTAATCTGTCTACATACGCCATTCTTTCCAGGAACTGGTCCTTATGTACATTGTGCTTTGTTCATAGCTGGCTACTGTGGCACTTTACTATACATACTCTGCCTTGGAAGAGGAAATGGACCGCAACAAGGACCACCCTTCATTTGCCCCTTTGTACTTCCCTCAAGAGCTTCATCGGAAGGAGGCATTGGCTAAAGACATGGAGTATTTCTATGGGGAAAACTGGAAAGAGAAGATCCAGTGTTCAGAGGCAACGCAGTGTTATGTAGACAGAATCCATCATGTTGGACAGTATGAGCCAGAGCTGCTGGCAGCCCATGCCTACACCCGATACATGGGGGACCTTTCTGGGGGCCAGGTACTCAAGAAAGTAGCCCAGAGGGCCCTGAAGCTGCCCAGTTCTGGGGAAGGGATCCAGTTCTATGTGTTCGACAACGTTTCCAATGCGCAGCAATTCAAGCAGTTCTACAGAGCCAGGATAAATGCCCTGGACTTGGACAAGAAAACCAAGGAGAGGATTGTGGAAGAAGCTAATAAGGCATTTGAATTCAACATGCAGGTACTGTGCTCCTCCAGACCTTTGTAACTGCCTGTGTTACTGAGCTACACTGCTTCAATCTTCTGCTTAGTAAAGGGAGCAGAGCAAAGCCTGCGGAATGAAGGGATTGGGAAAGGTGCCTCTCTCCCCTCCTCCACAATCTAGTCTGAAGGGAATGGAACAGCAGAGCCTAGTGACCTGGACCCTTCCATAACAGTCAAGGCTGCTCTGAGCTGCTAAAACACACCACTGACCTCTTCCAATTTTTCCTCTAGACACGTGGCAGAGGCCTAGGAATGCTGCTGGTGAAAGCAGTATTCTCCTGAGCATGGGTTAGAATTCTGCCCTGCCCTGCCTTATCGGGGGTCTCTGGCTTGTTTTATTCCTGTTACAGTAGCTACCAGAACATGTGTGGTGCTGTGCAGGCATTTCACCCTCCCTGAAACTGTCAGAAGAACAGGAAAGATCTTGAATCTCTCGCATGCAGACAGGGCAGAGTTCCAGGCTGTAGCAGACCCAGGGCCCAGCCAGCTCTAGAATAAATGAGTTTTAAGCAGGGCTATAAATGGAGCTGACCACTCCAGACTGGCATTGGCCCTCCTTGGGAGTAAACAGGATTGGAGATCCATGGTTGTCTTTGATGTGGATTTCGCATGATGTCTTAGAGGACAATCCGAGCTGTTTGGGACCGATGTTGGCACTTCTGTGTTTTTCAGGGGCCTGTAAGCACACGTGGTCAGTAGGAATTTCAAGATTTGTTTTTTAGGGCTTCCCCGTATGTAAACGTAACGGGGGGAGACTAGCCATGGTCCCCACATGAATAACCCCATCAACTGACCACGTGGGATGTGCCCTATTGATAGTGATCCCTGTTTGCTGTTCCAGAGGGAGGGGAAATAACCCTAGATATGCACTATAAAGCTGATGGGAGAATGGAGGACAGGAATTCTTCCTAAAACTTAAGAACCTGCTGGTTTCTCTCCAAGAGGACCAGCACCCTGTCCCTCCAGTTGCACAGGCATGCTGAAAGTCCTGCTACTTGTGTTTCTGGAGGGAGTCCTGTGTCATGTAAAGTTCTCACAAGCCACAAGATTCACCAGCCACCTAGGTGCCAACAGTTGAGGGCCCATCGTGTTTTACTGTGCTGGGTGAAGCTGTTCTGTTTTATGAGTAACATTATTGGAGCAAGCTGCATAGTATTTCAACAGGGAACTTGTGTACATTCAAACCACTTGAACACTAGACAGCCTCAGAGTACTTGGAGTTGCACACTTCATTTGGTAAATGTTGAACTAAAAACAAACCCTAGTGTTCTGTTCAAGGATTTGGTTTGAGGTACGTCAACGCCAGCTTCGTTATTTATGTAGCTGAAATTGTGTACCTGAAGCCAACTGTCCCCATAATATAGACCTGGCCTATATTTGCAGGGCTGGCAGCTAGCAAAAAACAGCCAAGATTTTCAAAGTTGACTGTAGGGTTCTTGTTTGTAGTTTTGGGGTGTCCAATGGCTGATCAGGAAGCTGAACAATACATGTGAGAACACTTCAGATTTCAATTGCACTCAAGTAAAATTGATAAGAATGTCTGTGCATTGCTGTTTGCTTTTGGTGACTTATGCTGAAACTTAATTTTCTCTGACAGGTATTTGATGAATTGGACAAAGTTGGGGCATTACTAACAGAAGAGGCCCAGGATGGAGGGTTCCCAGTGCATGATGGAAAAGGAGACCTGCGGAAGTGCCCATACTATGCCACAAAACTAGGTAGGTTTTATTTCATAAGTAGCTCAGCAATCCAGACTAATGTACCACAGCTAACAGTGCCTTTTATCCTTCCCAGCAGGCACAGGGGACCCTGGCTGCCCGTATCACATTGCCATGGCTTTGCTGAAGCAGCCCACCATGCAGTGTGTCCTTGCTGCTTGTATTGCCCTGGCTGCAGGTGTGGCAGCCTGGTATGTGTTATGATGGATGAACGCTAGTTGGTGTTATCCCACATTCACACAAGAAGATGAACACTTTCTAGGACTGTTCCTCTGCTACTGGTGGAGTTTTTGATACAAGATTTAATTGAATAATAAAGCAGAATCTGCAGGGAATGCCTAGGACTATTTGCATACAAATAACACATACTGCATGGTAACACACCTAGTAATTTATATAATTACCCAGCAAGGTTCTGAGCTGTTGACTACAATTCCTGCACTAAAGTTAGGACCTACACCAGGCAGTTGTGGAGCTAAAGTCAGGGGATGGCTTTAGCCAACTCTTCATTTACCTGAACAGGCTGGTGTTTTCTCCCCAGCTGTCTGATTGTGTTCCTTGCCCCTTTCAGCACAGTAAGGCTCTTCATATGCAGCTAGGCACTCAGCCTGTGACAGAGCAGGCTTAAATCGGGTGTTGCGCTTTGTCCTCCACAAGGAGAAGGTGGTGGGGAATTCAGACTGCTCCAGACACAGCTCCTATAGCTGATGCTTTGCTTATGGTCTCAGTAGCTCCAAAGGCAGAATAACTTGCTGCTCAGGTTGCAGTGGCCCCTAGGTTCAAAATCACTTTTATGAATTGGGGCCCTTTTGCCCTGGCATGTAGCAATTGCTGAGCAAACTGTTCCTCAAAGGTGGGTGGGGAGCAAGTCCTTGTATATTAAAGTTAATGGTTAATTTTCATGTAACTTATATTGTGATAAATCTTTGACCTAATAAAGTTTATACTCTGAAGTTGTCTTAAAGGAGTTTTTCTTCATGCAAAGAGGAGGCTGGTCCCTAAGACCTGCATTGCAAACAGGCCTTTACAGTCGCTCGTTCTGCAGGGACGGAGGCAAGGTTGCACATATTCACAGCATGGAAGTCATCTAGGAGGCTCAGTTGGAGACTGGTGATTGCTGTGTGCAATGCCAAACTTTCCACTGATTCTTTTCAACTAGCTAGTCAGTGGACCTGTTCTTCTGGGCTCTTGGGCCAGCTGAGCTGATTTTTGGCTCCAGAATTATTCTAGTTGCGATGGTATTAAAGTTACTTCTAGATGTGGATTTGCTGCATGTAAACCCTATTTACCAGTAACACTACAGAGCTTTATCCCTTAAGGGGAGGGGAGTCGGCTGCTGTGCTATAGGCAAAGCAACTGTCCTGTGTGTTAGATGGCCTAGACTCAAGCCTGTTGTGAGGCTTCTCTACACAGGATAACAATTGGTGCTGCCTAACCCTGTAGGGGGCTAATGTCACTTGTCATAAGCACTCTGTAAGGACTGGGTTCCAAGAGGAAAGCTGTGTTTTATGTCGGGTTAATTAGCTCCTTTTAAACAAGGCAAAAGTGGGGTGGGACCCTCTAGCTGCATGTAGCCCTCTGCAGGAGGGCAGTGATGTAACCTACTCTTGTGCATCAAAATACCAAACCCTCTGTCCCAAATCCCCATGAACTGCAGCCTAAGCTCTGATCCTTTCGGCAGCTATGATCCCTGGAAGTGCTTCTGTCTTACCTCGACTGCTATGGAACCCCAAGGCAATCACTGCTGAGACAAGTGGTGGTTTGCAATTTTTTTTTTAAAGCCAGACTCCTGGAGCTCAGTTGCTGCTGGAGGTGGGGGGAACTTAGGACAACAGCAGTGTGCCTTGGCAGAAGGTTGAGGGGCTGGTACAAAATGGGGACTCCACTCACAGGTGGAAGCTTCCTTTCTAAATTGCACTTCCATATTCATCTGAGAGCTTAAGTGAGGTTTCTAAAATGCTAATGGAAACATGAGCCCCCAAGGTCCAGGAAGTGAACATAATCTTGTCCCTCAACACACATACCAATATAGCTCTTGGTTTGAGCCTGCTTGCCTGGGCTCTTGCTACCTTCACCCCACCCCCCAAGTCCACATTGACCTTCAATCCCCTAATAATTTTTGTTGCCTCTTTGAAACTTTTCCAATGGCAATATTTCTTTTTGAAGCTAAAGTAGTCTGTATGCAGTGTTCTAGAGGCAGGCAAACCCTGGCTTTAGAGGCAATAAGATTTTCAGTTGTGTACCTTAAGCCTTCCTTCCAGGTTCAGTGTAGATCTGCCCTCAGTCCACTAACAGCTTAGCCCTGCCATATTATCTGTGGGCAGAAGAACCCACATTTCACTTTAGCTGGGTTGTGAGCAGCTGTAAGGATCCACCCATGTGGATCTCTAAGGTGCTACAGGACCATTGTTGTTTTTAAAATTTTGTTAGTTACAGATTAACATGGCTACCTCTCTGAGACTTTCAAAATGGTTATAGTATTACATTCACAACACAACTTTCAATGGCTTTTTAGTCTCAGATATAACTAGAACTAGTACCTATATACATTTTTATATTACCAGATTATTTAATTTACAAAGTACAGCAATGAAGGGAGAACATTAAATCCTTTCTTTTACGAAATTGCAAATATTCCATGGAGTTGCTTCATAGTATCCTACTACAGTTTTCACTTTGTCTATACAGGGCTTTATAGTGTGGCTACTTTACAAAGATACAAGGAATTTAGCGTCTACACTATAGATACAGGCACACATACATTGTCTCATAGATACCGCAAGAGGAAAGTCCAAATCCTGCTTTCACATTAACAAGTACAACTCTCACTGAATTCAGTGTGCTGTGTGCAAGTATCTAAAGTCAATTTGGCTCAATGACTTTAAAGACTTACCAGAAATTATTTCTGATGCAGTAATATTTATAGTATAGATTCTTTAACTATGTAAAGAAATTTCAATGAGGTTCAAGAATAAGGCTCCCTTGGGTCATTAATGGTGCAGGCCAGTGTTTTTCAATTTCAGGCCTGTGGACCCATGTCGTCCACAGACTATGTCCATGAGGGTCTGTAAAAGGTCATTGTTGCCATAGAACAGTGATTTTTCAACTGTGATCTGTGGACAACATGGGGGTCCACAGAGTACATCTAAGATTTCCAAAGGGGTCTGACCTACATTTCAAATTTTTAGAGGTTAACAACAACTCTCTGACTATGGTTATCCAGCCAATTATGCACCCATCTTATTGTGGCCCTATCTAAGTTATATTTGCCTAGTTTATCAATAAGAATATCATGCGAGACCGTATCAAATGCCTTACTAAAGTCTAGGTATATGACATCCACCGCTTCTCCCTTATCCACAAGGCTCGTTATCCTATCAAAGAAAGCTATCAGATTAGTTTGGCATGACTTGTTCTTCACAAACCCATGCTGGCTATTCCCTATCACTTTATTACCTTATGTATCCCTTTGATTCCCAACATTGTTTCTTTTTACACTCAGCACTATCCATAATGACTAAGATCTCTCTTCAAGTGAAAGCAGTGAGGAGTCCTATGGCACCTTATAGACTAACTGAAGTGTTGGAGCATAAGCTTTTGTGGGCAAAGACCCACTTCATCAAATGTGGCATCTGACGAAGTGGGTCAGTTAGTCTATAAGGTGCCACAGGAGTCCTTGCCGCTTTTGCAGATTCAGACTAACACAGCTCCCCCTCTGATACTCTCTTCAAGTGGTAACAAACAGCTAAAAGAGCCCCATCATTCATATGTACAACTGGGATTGTTTTTCCGTAGGCGTTACTTTGCAGTTCACAACATTGAATTTCATTATCATTTTGAGAGATCCTCTTGAAGCTCTTTGCAAGCCTTAGTCTTCAACCAAGAAAGGAGCCACATTGTGCTGGCTGTGACCATGGAAATCTGTCTGCCAAGATAGGCTGAAACCCACTGGTCAATGCTTTCCTGGCATCATGTACCCAAGCCTGGAAAGACTCTTCATCCCATTCCCTTGAGTCACCCAAATGGTAGGGGGTTTAAAGAAGAACAGCACAGGCCGATCAGGGTCTGTCTTTTATTTATATACAAACATCATGTAAAAGCACCAACTAGTTGCTTTTCTGAGCACAGGCTAATTCACTCCTGACAAACAAAGCTGACACCTGAACCACAAGTCAGAGATCAACCCAGGAGTTCATTTTAAGACTTCCGCTTGGTTTAAAACATTTACTTGAATATACAAATACCCTTGCACTTGAACAGATTAAAATCAGGGTCATGCTTTTGGTTACAGAAACAGCCCATCAGCTTAAAGAACAAAAATCAACCATTTCACATTCATGACCCAGAAACCCATCTGGCCCCATGAAGAGGCAGAGCTGTGCCCAGGGTGCATACACAGCCCAGTTTAACAATCAGCAACAGAGCAGATGTTCCCTGTGTTTTGCCGGCATGCACTTTGGACACAAACCAGAAAGGGTTACAGCAGCTGGAATAACCTGAAGTACAGAGCCACTGAAAAAGGGAGTTCAGCAAAGGCTCTCTGAGTAGCCCTGGGCTCTGCATCCAATAGCATCAGCCAGTTTTAACCCTCACAAGCTACATTTCTTCTTCCTAGAATAAAAAGGAACCAGATCAGACCCACATGCAATGTTCAGACCATGCCCATTAGTGATGGACTCCTGGGCACTGACTGAGTGCAAAAGTGATTGGGTTTGAAGGGTAGAGGATTCACATTTCCAGTAAGTCAGATGCAACCTGGCAGCCATTTACTAATACTATAGTAAAATTAAATTAAATTAAAAACCCCTACAATGCTGCGCTGAGTGAGCTACATATTTGGGCACACTGCCAGTTAGTGGGGAGTAATGAAATGCGGGGACCTCGCTAGCACAGTGAAGAAGTGCATTGAGAAAGTCGCAAGTTTTTCTGTCTCCCAAGAACACAGATATTCGAGAACAAACAAAACAACAACAGGGCATCTGATGCAAACCCACACAGCCAGGAAAAGAGCAGTGTAATACCAGTACAGCCAGAAGCTTCCCTTTCACTGTACTGGGTGGGTTCAACGGACGGAGGTTTCGTTCAGGGGTGGGAGGGAAGCTGACAGAATTGAGTGTAATGAATGCGGACGGAGTGCAAGCTGGTGAGTGTGGGGACCGCTCAGGCACCCCTCCCAACTCGGACAGGGGAGTGCTCTTTACTGGAGCCTGCTGACTTGGCAACTGATTGGGACAAGACATCCAGTGAGGTCACCGAGGCCAGTGCACTTGTGATTGGCCATGAGCAGGAACCCAGGACTTGGCTGGCAAAGGCTCGTGGCTGCACCATAAAGTCCCAGGTAAAGGCAAATCAAGGCAAAGGAAATGCAGATGCAAGGTCTCTAGCTCCAGAGGGCTCGAATCGCCCCAATCCCACTGACCCAATAGCAACAAAGCCCATTGTTCTAGGTGGCTCATGCTCATTGACCACTAGATGCGGGGCAGGGGTTGGAAAACTGCTACTTAGTGCTGTGCTCAAGAGAGAACCAACCCACCTCACCCTCAGGCTGAGCTGTCACATCTCTCCGTGTCAGAGGCTACAGCAGCCAAAGGGAGCAAGTGGCCCCAAGAGTCTGCTAGCACCAGCTGCTGCTCCATTTCTTCTTCCTGCCTGTCCAATGGAAGGGTCCCAAGACCATAACTGTGGCTGGGAATTTCCAGTAGCGGCTATTTTCTATACGGCACTAGCAGGCTGCTGTGTGTAATCGCTGCTGGAAGAGCCAGAGCCAGGAGGCAAACAGAGGGAGCTATCGCCAGGGACGGACACTTGAGGCGCCAAGGTTCCAAAGCATTTCAACAGAAACAGAACCGCACCTCAAACGCATCCTCCGGCCACCTGCAACCGAGACAGAGCTGCTGCCTCCCCATCTCCTGCCGTGCAAGGCAGAGCTGGCTGGGCTCCAAGGCAGGCAACAAACATTAACTCTACTCAGCTGTATGGCAAGCCAGATGTAAACACACAAAGAACTAAAGCCTTCCCCTTTATACCACGTAGCCTGGTGACCCAGCTCACCCACATCCCTCTTGCCTACAGCTAAACAAGGAAGCCGAGTGCATCTTGGCATCTGACAGAAGCACAGCCCTTCCTGCGTGTGGGTCGGCCCTTCCTGGAGATGGGCAGACGGACGTTCTTGCTTTGAGTTTGTGGTTTGCAAAGTAGAGAACTGCACCATTCAACTAAACTATATGATCCGTCTGCTTGCAAGAGACAGGGCACACGAGTATCTCAGCTTCCACAGCTCTGCGGGAGCCAACTGGACCTTTAGCCATATTCACAGGTTCTAGAGACGTAAAGGAGCTGCCAGCATGGAATAGAAGGAAAGCGCCCCTCCTACTGTAACGGGCTCAGTCTAGCACTAACTGGGCAAGAGCCCTTTGGAATGGCCGGCCCCACATCCCGCCAGCTGAAGGATTTGCCTTGCATCACTGTCTCCTTTAACAGTGGCTACTGCCAGGCCACTGATGGGGGAGGATGCAGGAAAGTGAGGTAGGACGGGTGGCTCTGACAGGCTGACAATCTGGGAAGGGAAAGTCTTCTGTGCAGCCTCGCTTGCAGTCCTAGTTCTAAACCTTCTGCACACAGCCGGAAGGGTGAGAACAAGATGGAGGGCTGGAACAGCAAGGCTATTCAATCGCACAACCTAACTCAGCTACCTGTCTGAGCTCAGATCTACACACCAGCTCTAGCTGTTAGTGGTGTGGGCCTACAGCTTCCTTGTCAGTGTGTGAGTACCTCTAATACAGCATTCAAAGCTCTTTCAGAGAGAAGGGGAAATAAACACACTACCAACAAAGAGCTAAGCACAAGGAGCATTCTGCATGTGTAGGCCGGCATGGAGGGGGTGGCGTCATTCCAGCAGGTGCAGGTCCCAGGGGCGCTGTTAGCACATGCGCTTGTACGTGTAGATATAGGCCTTGCAGTTGGGACAAGTGTGGGTCACATCCTTGAAGTCGTCTATTATACACGGAATGAAGCAGCAGCCTAGATCGCATCTGGAAAAGGAGGGAAGAGATCAAAGCCAAGCGAGCTGGGACTAGGCCCAGCAAGCACTGTGGCCTCCGCTCTGCCCCTTGCAGTCTGACCAACATGCACATGCACATGCACTGCCGCCACCCCAGCCATCCAGTGAAACCTGGCTGTGCTGGTAGAGCCCCATGAGTCCTAGCACCTGGAGCCTGGTACAGCACCCTCCACCTTAGGCTGGAAGCACAAAGCCTTTCCAGGGTGCATATTTAAAGCACACAGCAGAACACCTGGGAGCACAGGGACGGCCAGCAGGAAACTGCCAGCTAAAAACCAGTCCCATTGCTCTGTGGAGAGACGCGCCCCCAACACTACGCTGAGCAGCGAGGGCAGCTTCCTGCTAGCACCAGAGCCGCCGGAGCCCACCAGCAACCAGCCTCACGCCCAGCTAAGATAGCAGGGGCAGGCCCAGGGTCACCAGGGAAGGCAAAGGCTGGTGCAGGGCTGCACAGTGACAATCAGACACACGCAGCAGCTTGGATCCCCATGGAGCCTCACAGCCTCCAGGTCTAATTTCCTCCTTCGCCAGCAGGAGGCAAGAGGGGCTCCAAGCCCCAGCCCTATGTGGGGCTCCATACAGGAGAAAGCCAACTGGATGAGTAGGCACTAAGAGCAGAGAGGTGAATGCTGCTTGGGCAAGTGCCAGACTCCCTCCTCTAGCTCTTCCCTCCCCCGTCCATCCGTGACCCCTGAGGGGAAGCAGCAGAGAACGAGAGAGCTCCTCTGCTCCCAGCACATACCCGACAAAGCAGCAGAAGAAGCCCAGGAGGAAGCTCATGAGCCCAATCTCGTGTGTGATCGAGGTGGTGATGGCCTGCTGGCAGTGAGGACACACCGTCTGCACGGGGCTGCCCTGGAATATCTCCCCCTGCAGCACGGTGACGGTGGTTGCAGCCCCGGACGGCACGATGACAGTTGCCGTGTGGCCGCCAGCAGCGGGGTAGTGTCCTGCACCCGGGTAATAGCCCATGGCAGGGTGCGGTCCTGAGGGTGGATAATAACCTGCCAGTGACACACACACACGTTAACAAGCAATCCAGATGCGACGTTTCTGAGCAGCAGGACTACGGGGGCATCCCGCTGCTCTGTGCCCCCCACGTTCCTGGTGCTGGGAGCTCGGCACTGAGTCAACACACCCATTCCGGCAATGCACAGGGCCAGCCAGGATTGGGCCCTGCTGGACAAGGAGCCAGAAGTGTCACTACAAGGCCACTGCAGTGGAGGGTGCTCCAGGCCTGGAACTGACTCTGTGCACAGAGCGCCCATGCAGTCCGCTCCAGGTGGCCACCCAAAGCTCTCCGGAAAGGCAGGGGCCCGGGCTGCAGAGGTTCCATCCCTGGTGCTGTTGGAAGAGAACACCATGGCCTAGCGTACAGCTCCTCTGCCCTCAGCACCAAAGCTCTGGGAGCCCCCAAGAGTCAACAGCAGCCCCTGCGATTGCCTGCCTGGGCCTGACAGTAACTGGCATCAGGTCCTCCCCGGCCATGCCACAGAGCGCAGGGACGGCACATTCACCAGCAGGGCAGCTGCCGTAGTGAGAAGCCGAGTTAGATTTCTGGGCTCTCTCGAGCGCACCCAGACTAGACACCTAGAAGGAGCTTGCGCTGAAAGCTGTTCCCCATGTTACTCAGCCCCTCCAGTACTCACCAGGGGGCATGTAGGGCACAGAGCCTTCTGCAGAAATGGGAGGGGGGATGTACCCCGGCTGCAGGGGTGGCTCATAGGGGGGTGGCCCAAAATCTGAAGGGGGCACAGGCATCCCGTAGGGCTGGACTGCAGCAGTGGAGACGCCATCTGAAAGGAAAGCCAGAAGGCCGAAGGGATTAGCTGGACTGGAAGGAGGTCACTGGGGAGCGGAGGGGCAAGGGAGCAAGAGCACAAGAAGCTGAGTCGAGGTGTCCTACGCCAGACAGCAGTGGCAGCCAGGCCTCCACTATACAGAGCGGGGTACAGGGCTGGCAGAAACCACCCCAGTGGAGAAAGCCACAGTAATGCTGCGAGAGCCACAAGCCATGACAGGGCAGCGCCAACGGGAAGAATCCGGCCAATCTGGAAATACGGTGCTAGGACTTGGGAGGGGCATGTCTCCGGGAAAGATCTGCCAGAGACCCCCCAACCTGCCTCCTTCTCAACTCGGGGGCTTTAACACCCACCTGTTCCGGGAGCAACTCATTGCCATGGAACAGACTTCAGCAGGGGAGCCCCAGCACAGGCGAAAGGCACCGTGCTGGCCCAGTTAAACCTGCAGCAGATCCCCAAGCCCTGGAATTAGAGGCCCAGGCTGGGGAAGGGGCATTAACTGGAGAGCAGCTGGATTTCATTCGGGTGCTGGCCCAGCAGCCCCAGCCAATGTCGGTAGGTCCTTGCCTCAGTTCTGCGTGGGGATGGCGGCTGGATGGGAGCTCTGGTGCAGAGCGCTAGGGACTCTGGTGCAGTCAGTCTGGCCAGCTGAGGAAGCAGGCGTGAGAAGAAGGGGATGGGCAGAACCACTGGGAGGGAACTGGCCTGGCAACACCCTCACAGGATGTCTGACTCCTGCATCTCCCCTGGCTGCAGCTGTGCCAGATGGGCTGGTTTCAGTCAGCCCTCATTTGGGATCCCCCACTGAGCCAGGCTTCGAGAAGGATGCGAGCTGGAGTCCTAGCAGACAGGCATGCACCCCAGGGCACAGACACCCCAGCAGGCCTCGACCAGCAGCTCAGCTCCTTTTCCCCTTAGAGCATAGGATTGGAGCCCTGCCTTGGGCTAACATGCGGCATCACATCAGCCACGCCTGCTGAGACATCCTGGGTCCCACGGGCCTCTTTGGATCCAGAGAAGCTGGAGCGGAGAGCGTCTGATCCATGCCCCAGTGCAGGCACTCGCTACTCAAACCAGGCTACAGGGAAGCATAGTGCCAGGGCAGTGCTCGGGCAGTCAAGTCCCCTCAAAGCCGATCAACATCACTGCACAAGAAGCATGAAATCTCGCCTCCCTGGTGCTAGCTATTCCCGATTCTGAGGGAGTAAACAGTGCTGACCTGACACCCTCCCTCACAGGCACTGGCTTCCGCTCTAGCTGGGAGGTGCTCAACCCCCAATCTGCCCCGGGCCCTGCCTCACGGGGTACAGTGAGATCAGGGATTCAAGAATGGGCCCCTGAGAGACACTAGCCAAGAGGTGGGAAGTAAAGGGCCTGAAATCAAGGTAGAGCAATATGCTGACTTCACTCCTGTAGCAGTTCTGCCCCCTTTCTCCCTCTGCCTTGACCCCAGCACGGCCACCCTCTAACTTGTCTGTAAGGAGGCCACCTGCCCCAGGGATTCCTCTGTATTTGCCCTGGCCCCACTGCCACTCGGACTGGGTAACAGCATAGATGGGGGCCCATCCTCTGCAACTTACCTGACATGGTGGGTGGGCCATTCTTCTCTTCTATCAGCGGTGCAGAGGGTCCCCCTGGGTAGGGTGGGGGAGGGTCACTGGACATCGCTTCCCGCTGGTCTGCAAGAGAGAATTACCGGACGTATTCACTCACCACTGGGCCAGTACAGAGGCATCCACCGCCCCAGTGCAGACAGGGAGAGTATTAGAGTTGGGTCATTTCTGTGGGATTCTAATTCAGCTCATGGATGGACACTCGCCACAGCCCGAAACCCCTAGGCTGTGATCTTGCCCTCATATTTCCCGAGCTCCACAGCTCACGTTGGGCCAGAATTCAAGCCTGGTGCTGCAGGCAGCAGTGCTGCAGATTCAATGACCCTCGGCTCAGTTTAGCACTAGCTCCAAGGGCATCGCCTGGTGTTCAAAGTGCTGAGCTGGAGGGGCTGAGCAGTACGGGATCTAACCATTGCAGCATATTTTGTGACAGGGAAAGTATCGACCCCAGGGTCCAAGTAACTACTTTCCACCGCCCTATATTCTCCTGCCCTTTCAATCAGACACATTGCCCTTCAGTTCCCACTTCAAAAGGCTGCAGAGGTAAACAGCAGCTACAGTTCACTGGTAACTTGATCCACACTTCGCTGGACTTCTAATCAAAGCTCTGTCCCATGTTAAAAGGGGCACAGCTAGGAGGCAAGAGCAGGAAGAAAAATCCCATTGACGGAAATTAAATGTTTGTTCCCGGAAGTGATTAGTCAACTTCTCAGGGCTTGTCTTCACAGCCCGCTGGATCGAACCATTGTTCCAGAGGAGAGTGAGGTGGATTTATCCCATCTAGTACAGACATGATAAATCGACCACCGAGCGCTTTCCCCTCGACTCTGGGTCTCCAGCAGAATGCAAGTGCTGTCAACTTCCTGCAGCAAGTAGATCTAAGTACAGGGACTTCAGCTCTGTTGTTCGCATAGCCTTGTTCGCGTAGCCGGAGTTGTGAAACAGACTGACGGCCTGCGGTGGTGTAAACTAGGCTTAAGAAATAGACTTAGTGAAAGGATCATCTCTAGTTTCCAAATAGTTTTACCTTTCTTCCTCCTCAAGCTGGGCAAATCAGAGGCCTTAACTGAGTCAAGAAAATGATAGAATACTTGTCTAAAGTTTATAGTCTGAAAGCCTTGTTAATTTGATGAAGCTGTGTGAGGGGAAACACCCACACAAGGGCCTTTTAGGCAAACCAATTCCCCCAGGCTCCTAGAATGGAGCAGCTGCAAAAAAAACTCTTTGAATCTGCATAAGTCTCCATTCAGGCCAGCAGTTACCCCCTCCCTGTGTGAATTAACAGGGGAGGTCAGGAGATCCAGGAGTCAAGGCTGCTCTAAGTTTGTTCTTTTCTGATATGTTAGAGACTAAGGAAAGATCCCAGCACTGGAACACTCCCCTCAGGGAGAGGGTGCTTGTGCTAGTGGGGATCCAGGTCTCCCAGGATCAGAACTAGGGATGTAAAATCCCATTTAGTTAACAGGTTAAATGGGGTTGGGCTGAGGGGCTGGAGCCCAATCTCTGGTATCCATCCTGAATGAACAGGTTTCCATCACACCCCCATTTGGAGCCTGCTGCTGGGATGCACCCACCCACATCTCACCCGTGCTAGAGCACAGGGGTTTATTTCACAAGTAAACCACATTTCCCATGCACAGGGCATTGAGAATGCACTGAACAGGCGCTGGGCTGCTGTCACGCAGTTGGCAGCATCGGATCACCATGGCATCGCCACGCAACTTATAAACAGCACTCAGAGGCCAAGCGCAGGGACTTGCCTGAGACTAGGAGACAGAGTATGAATCCTGGAAACCAAGCCCACTTTATAGCCTTGTGCAGATCAGCCACATCCCTTCCAGTATTTCAAAACAGCCTTTCTCCAGGGGAGGGATACTCTACCTATGGGAATCCACTTGGAAATCTCTCCCGCACTAGGATCTTCCCTGCCACCGGGAATGTTCCTGAGTACTTCATGCTGGGGTAGGGCTCTGCGTGGGAAAGGGGCTGGCAGTCAGTTTACCCACAGGCCACGCATTTAGCAAAGCCCTAGACAGAGAGTCAGGCGTGGCGTAGGCACAGGTTTGTACGGCATTTCTTGCCCCTTGCGCAGTATCTCACAGGTACTGACAAGGGGCAAGAAGCATTATTTCCCCTCTAAACAAAAGCACCTAACCCTTTGCATGCTGCAGCTTGCGTGGTCTATTCCCAGAGTTATGTTTAAGTCACTGTTAATCAGAGTTAGTGGCTGTTGGGCAAACAGCACGGAATGCAGCAGTGATAAAACAGCTCAGACTTTGCCAGCACAGGATTTACTGCCTTACACCCTGTTCTAGGGGAATTTCATCCCCTCCACAGCTCAGTGCGGAAGGACTGGGATCCCTGATGTCCACTGCAGGAAATGCCAAAAACTGGGATGTAATTTTTGCCTGCACTATTACTGCCTGCCTCTGAACCATGCGTCTTCCACGCAGCTGCTAAGCAAGGGAGATGCAGACAGGGTCTTGACATGAATAACTGAACAGTACAAGTATCCGAGTGTGAACAAATCTCGACACTAAAACACTCTCCTTTCTCAAGGAACAGCAAATATGCAGCAAGACTCCCCTCTGAAGCATTCTACCCATTTCACACTTGTTAACACTTGGAACTTATTTTGCCCTTCTGATTTATTCTGCTCAAATTTTTCCCAGTGACTTCCCCTGTTTCTTTTACAAACACCATTCACAGTGCAATCCAGCACAGGAGAGCTCTGCAGAAAACTCTTACCAGGTCCCAATTCAACCATACACCACCTTCCTGCCTTACAAACTTTTAATCACCCAGGCACCCTCCGATATCTCCAGAAGACAAAGTGAACTCATCCAGGATCATATGTCTTCAGGTATCTAGGCATACAAGACAGATCTATAAATCGGAGTAATTGCATTACACAGTGTGAGTAACAGTAATTGGGCCTAACCACACATGCAGGCAGAGATCCTCCGGTCAGCATAGTGGACTTCACTAGCGCACCACCGTGACACAGCTGCACCAGTACATAAAGATGAGCCCTTAGAACATAGAATCCCAGCGCTGGCAGAGACCTGCCCAAAGCAGGACCAACCCTATGCTGGAAGGCATCCAGGGTGCAATTTTGAAATGCAGCCGGAGTGCAACATGTGGGGACAATCCAACAATGCCGGTCTTTGCCAGCCTCCATGTCCAAGTGTCTGGGAGAAAACAGTCCTTATGTCAGAGGAGTTGAATCACGTTGCGGCATCTCTCTAGATCAGTGGGGGGCAACCTGCGGCCCATTAAGGTTTTCTATGTGGCCCAGGAGACGTTTTGGTTACAGTCGCCCATGCACAGGGTTGCCAGACACTGGGAGTTTTGTCCAGTTTTCTTTTACCGGTGTTACAAGAGACTCATGTAAAGCCAAGACACACGAAGTGAGGTGCGTGCTGCTTTCACACAACACTGAGAGAGCCGTGCGTGCCCTCTGCAGCCAAATCAACATGCTGTCCAGAGGCGATGCATGAGGAGGGCCACATGCACTACTCGAGGCGGGAGGGGCCAGCCAGCAGAGCGGCTAGCAGGGCCGATGCCGGCAGCAGGAGTCCAACCCGCGGTGCTCACAGGCAGCAGCAGTGAAGGTGCAGGCGAGGCAGCTCCAGTTTGCTTGGCACGAGCTGGAACCACCTTCCTGTGCCTTCCCCGCCGCCAACGCCAGTGAATGCAGGGGTTGCGGGTGCAGCGCAGATTCGCAGGAGACTAGCAGGTTTGCACCGGCAGCAGGAAGCTACGTCGTCACCCCTCCCCGTGCACTCCCCAGCAGCAGGGAAGGCGCAGCAAGATGGCTCCAGATTGTGCAGCACTGCTCTCCGGCCACGTCGCTTCCAGGGAGAGCTGGGGCAGTACCACCCCTCCCGTTGTCATCAGTTCCTGCCGCTTCCCCCCACACCCACTGCCTCTCTCCACACGTGCCAGTTCCCACCTGCTCCCCCACCCCACTGCTGCCATTGACGGAGGCTGTGGAGGTGGGGAAGGTGGCTTGGTGGAGCCAGCATGCACAGAGAGTCAGCTTAGAAGCCAGATCCCCATGCATGACGACTCCTCCCCACCCCCTTTCTGCCTCTGATACAAAGGTGGGGTGATGGTGCATGTAGTCAACAGGATTAACCATTAAGCCCAGCCTTACCTGTTAATCATGTACTCAACTACACACTGACATTCCTACCAGACACCTCTCACCTAGAACTGAGTGTGTTGTCTGCGAAGGGTAGGCTCACACAGTCAGATCAACACAGCACCTTCTTCAGAGACCCAAAGCTTCCTCGAGTGGCACCAGCAATATTACAGATCAAATCTCGAGAACCTGCCTCATGGGTGGAGCTCCTCTGGCACCAGGAAATCAAACAATGTCGCTGTCTGTAGGGCACAAGTTGGAGTTTGCTGCTCTGCCAAGAACTCTGAAAGCTAGGCCCACTCTGCCACTCAGCCACCTATGCTCAGAGATCTTGCCATTAATCAGGCCCTGGAAAATTCTGTAGGATTTAAAACCCAGTTCTGCTCACTCAGGGTAAAGAAAACCAGGAAGAAAGTTTTCTAGACTATTTTTTGCCGAGAACAGTTTTCAGTGAAACGGACTTTAATTTGAGAAAAGATTGGGGGAAATAAAGCTGACCTGGAAAGCGTACATCCTGGCCACGCGCTGCAGAAAGATGGCCTCAAAATGTCTGTCTTCAAAACATCCAGAAACCAAACACACATTTGTGGCTGGAGACCCCCCTAAATCCAGACTGCAGAAGTAGTTCCCATGGCACATATTTACCACGGCCCTGGCCCTTAATATCAGTGACCTGTAAAGCTGTTTAATACCTTACAGTCCAGATGAACCCATTTTCAAAATAGCTGAAAGTCTCTCTAGTCTCCACTAGGCAGTTGTCCTGCCTTAGCTATGCTGGTCTATATTGCTTTAACTAGGCGCCTAGCAAGGACACACTTAGCAGCATCAAGGTCCTTTCTACAGTAGATACCTGGAGTTACAAATACCCCAGGACTAGTGGCCGTTCATAATTCTGAACAAAACTTTATGGCTGTTTCAGAAGTTTACAGTTGAACACTGACTTAATACAGCTTTGAAACTTTATATGCAGAAAGAAGGAAAGCGGCATTTTCCTTGACAGTTTGTGTTTGACATAGAACTGTACTGCATATGGGATTTTTTTGGGGAGGAGAGTGGGGGGTGTCTCTGCTGGTTCCCAGGGAGAGGCGTGCTCAACTGGTCGGATCATAACTCCTGTGTTTGGAACGCTGAGGCTCTCCTGTACCAGCACAGCTATTCCAGCAAGAGAAGGAGAAGAACGATACCGGTATAACACATTCAGTGCTGTTTTACCTGTGTCAGTTTCAGGACAGGAGACACAAGATGGGAGAGGTCTTATCTTTTTTGGCTCAACTTCTGCTGGTGAGAGTTACAGGGTTTTTTAGAGTTACACAGAGCTCTTCCTCAGATCTGGGAAAGATAAGTATGGCTAGGTCTGATCATTTCCAGTTTCCTTGACTGCTCCTCTCAGATAACAGGGAGGAAACAGAACATGGCTGGTATTAGCAGCTTCTTCCCCCACAGCCAACTCCCCTCCACCTACTGCAGTGATGCTGGAAATGCTGCTGCACCCAATGGCTTAGAATAGTAAGATAAGCACCAAATACATAGCTTCCCTGCTTAGCAGCCCCACTATAAACACTGTTCCAGCACCCCCAAACTTCTCTTCCCAAGATGGTTGCAGACTCCAGCTCAGGGAAGTGGCCAGCCAAACAAATCGGTGCATCCTAACGTAGCCACAGACACAGCCTCCTCTAGAACAGTCTCAAGTCCAAGTAAAAAAAAAAATGGAACAACAATGGAGCCCCACAAACTACATAATGTTGTTCCACCAAAATGGATATGAGCCTCAGCTCAGAAAACAGGAATAGCCACAAATTAAACATCCCCTCTATCCCTGGGCCCCACAAGCCCTCCAGCACAGAAGAGAGCAAGAGGCTCTCCTAATACTGCTAGAGCAGCAGAATCCTCCCACACTTCCCCCAGCAAAACACAAGGCAGAGGCCAATTCTAGTTTCATGTACAGGTCTCTTTTCAGGAACGTGTAGTTTATAAAGCCCTTTGGGATCCTTAAAAATCCAAAGGCACTAAAGACACTGTGTATCATTTTAAAGTGCACACATAACTAAAGCTTGCTCTACAGTCTGGGGAACACGCCAAATAAAAGTGAGGAAAAATATAACTAGCTAAACAAACCTGACACCACACCTGGCGCTCTCACCCAGGCACTTACACAGGCCTGTGGAAGAAAACAGGCCTTCACTCTGCGTTTGTAAGCAACAAGTAGTCAGAGACAGTTTATTCAAGCAATATTGCAAGGGAAGAAGCTGCTGCTAGGAAGATCGTCAAATACAAAAG